GTTCTGTGGGACCTTCACTGTGTGAAATGTTAAGATATACCCAAAGAAGACATACAGATGGCTAACAAACACATGAAAAGATGCTTAACATCACTCATTATTAGAGAAATGCAAATCAAAACCACAATGAGGTACCATTTCATGCCAGTCAGAATGGCTGCTATCCAAAAGTTTACAAGCAATAAATGCTGGATAGGGTGTGGAGAAAAGGGAACCCTCTTACATTGTTGGTGGGAATGCAAACTAGTACAGCCACTATGGAGAACAGTGTGGAGATTCCTTAAAAAACTGGAAATAGAACGCAGCAATCCCACTCCTGGGCACACACACCAAGGAAACCAGATCTGAAAGAGACACGTGCACCCCAATGTTCATCACAGCACTGTTTATAATAGCCAGGACATGGAAGCAACCTAGATGCCCATCAGCAGACGAATGGATAAGAAAGCTGCGGTACATATACACAATGGAATATTACTCAGCCATTAAAAAGAATACATTTGAATCAGTTCTAATGAGGTGGATGAAACTGGAGCCAATTATACAGAGTGAAGTAAGCCAGAAAGATAAACACCAATACAGTATACTAACACATATATATGGAATTTAGAAAGATGGTAATGATAACCCTATATGCAAGACAGAGAAAGAGACACAGATGTATAGAACAGAGTTTTGGACTCTGTGGGAGAAGACAAGGGTGGGATGATCTGAGAGAACAGCATTGAAACATGTATATTATCAAGTGTGAAACAGATCGCCAGCCCAGGTTGGATGCATGAGACAGGTGCTCAGGGCTGGTGCACTGGGATGACCCAGAAGCATGGGAGGGGGGAGGGAAGTGAGAGGGTAGTTCAGGATGGGGAACACATGTAAATCCATGGCTTATTCATATCAATGTATGGGAAAAACCACTACAATATTGTAATTAGCCTCCAACCAATATAAATAAATGGAAAAAAAAAGATATATAGTGTGATAAAAACAACATCATCATCAACAACAATACATGATTGGGGTTCTGAGATAAAAACTGTTGAGAAAGTAGTACATTAAATGAAATAAAACTTTCGTGAGAATCATAGTTACTTTTAAGGAAAGATAGGGTGCCTCTCACCGCTTCTTTCCACAGTGCTTCTGACCATGGTTTTTGCAATGGAAGAGTAGTCATGCCTTATTGACAGTAGAAGAACTGTTGTGGGAAAGCAGGATTCTGGAATAACTGGTGGGATAGCTGGTGATATGAAGTTTTCACATGACAATAAAGTAACTTAGTGTAGTCAAAAAAAGAAAAAAATTTTTGTAGGACTTCCCAGTGCCTTCAAAGGCTAATTTATATTCAGAATTTAAAGGCTAAGTTAATTTATAAGCTATAAAGAAAAATAAAATGTATGTACTTATTTTTCAAATTATTTCAACATCCAGCCCTCTTTTGAAGACCACTGTAAAGGAAAAACATTCATTTTTGGAAATCCTTGTAAGTACCTCCACATACTTCTGCACTCTTAAGTGAGTTTACAAGTCTTGAACCTGCTTTCTAAGATAGGTAGTGAACCTACTTTCTAAAATGGTTTTCCCTGTCATCGCCAGAAGTCTGTTATTCCAGGAATGTTAGCCATGATTCAAAAAATAAAATCTAAAATTCATGAATATATTTTATATAAATAGCTATTCACTCTCTACATACTTTTTACTTTCCCAAAGTTCAAATACCCAGAAGAGATTAAAGCCACTGAATTTTTCAAACTCTTGAGGTTTTCTGTATATAATTTCACAAGCACCAGAGATGCCTGTTTGTAATTTCACAGTCACCAGAGATGCACATCAGGTTTCTTTCAGATATTAGCTATTGTTCATTCTCTTGTCATTCAGGAAAACTGGGGAGCAGCTGGCAAACTGTCAGATCTCAGGTGCCTACTATAGAAATTGCAATGACCAACTCCATGGGAATTTTCTGCCTGTTATGTGGGACTTCCACTGGTTCTGAGACTCTTTTTTCTTCTTGTTTCTCTTTATTCACTCTCTTGCATTCAGTAATTTACCAGCTTCTTAAAAGTGATTCTAATTCTCCAGAATTAAAATTCCTTAGGATTCTCTCCCCTGCCCCTGTTTTTCTTCTCAATTATTTCTAACATCCTTCAAACCACTGAGAAATCAGAGTATAGGAAACAAGTCATTGTTCCACAGCTCTCTTCCTATGTAGGACATCTAAATTCCTGTCTCATCTAACTGATGACCTCCTTAACCCCTCTGTCTCCAGTGATCTCATCTAATCTCACTTTGAAACATCTCCACACTTATACTTATGATTTTCAAGGGTATTCCTGACCATCCTCTCTTTCCTGAACTCTAGACTCAAATACTCAACTGTAGCTGTTATTTCTAAGTTGATACCTAGTGGCATCTCAAATTCAACAGAGTCAAAGCAGAAATTTTTTCTCTCCAAACTTGCTTCCTCCCTGTCTTCTCTGTATCAGTTATCAGCACCACCATTAGGCTAATTGCTCAGAAATCTAGGAGTCTTTCACAACTCTACTGTTCTCTTACTTCCCATAAACCTCTGATTCATCATTAAGACCTTCAGTTCTGCCTCCAGATTAGATCCTGCAACTTTACATTTTTTAGTATCTAAACTTAACAACCAGAGTCATCCAAGCCATATATGTCTTTAGACTGGACAGCTGCTAATATCCAACCTGGTGTCTCTGCTTTGACTCTTTTCACATACACAGAGCCAGAGAGTGGTTTTTTTTTTTTTTTAATGCTAATTAAATCTTTTCATTCCCTGCTTTAAAATCTTCCAGTGGTTGGACAGTGCACTGAGAACAGAATGAAGACTCTTTATAATGGGCTTTCAAGACGTTTTGTGATCTGGCTTCAACCACGTCTATGACCTCATCTCAGGTACTTGCCCCTCTTTTCCTGTTCCTTGAAAATGCCAAGTACATTCTTGTGTTAGTTCTTTTACACCAGCTGTTTCCTATGCCTAGTTCGTAATTCCCCCTGATCTTCTTAAGGGACTTTTCTGTCATTCAGGTTTTGGCTCAAAGTCAAGCAAAACTAGCTTTTTGTAAGGCCTTGTAAACTGACCAGCAGACTTTTTTTTCTGGTAATAGGAAATTGTGGGAATATTGACTTTATTCAGACTTTAAAAGAAAATGAAATACATTTTCTGACATTAAAAAACAACAGAGAACCAAAAGGCATAGCATTAAGAATAATTCCACTCTTCTCCATGTTGTTCAGTCACTAAATTATGTCCAAAACTTTTGAGACCCCATGGACTGTAGCCCACCAGGCTCTTTTGTCCATGGGATTTCCCAGGCAAGAATACTGGAGTGAGTTGCCATTTCCTTCTGCAGGGGATCTTCCTGACCTGGGGATAGAAGGTGAATCTCCTGCATTGACAGGCAGATTCTTTACTGCTGAGCCACTGGGAAAGCCCATGCTTCTCCTAGCTTAGCTGAATCTTGTATATTAGGGAAACTGCTTCCACAATGGCTCAAGTGGTAAAGAATCTACCTGCAATGCAGGTAGAGGTGGGTTTAATCCTTGGATCAGGAAGATCCCCTGGATGAGGAAATGGCTACTTACTGCAGTATTCTTGCTTGGAGAACCAGCCAACAGCAGAACCTGGCAGGCTAAGTTCATGGGGTCGCAGAGTCTGACATGACAGGAGCATGTGATGGATGGATGGAGGGATGGATGGACAGATGAAGTGAACCACTTTTTAAGTAAGTAAACAGGGAAACTGCCAACACACATGTAGACCTCCTAACACCATCAAATCCAGAGAAAAAAACATGCAGGTCTCTTCTAGTGCAGTGAGTGACAATGTCTTTGAGGACATTCAGGTCTCTATTACTGACCCTGGGAAAGAGGCTTGAAGAGAAAATCACCTTGAAATGTCACGCTCTGGGTCAGAAACAGAGGTCAAGACATAAACAATGTAACAGTACAAAATAAAACGCACATTATTAGTGTGCCTGTGTGTGTGTTTGCGCATGCGTGGGTGCTTGTGCCGTATAAGGGAGAGGACTAGGGAAATGGAAAAGCGGGCTACATAATTTACCTGGCCTCCAGGCTTCCCTAGTGGCACGCTGGTAAACAATCTGCCTGCAATGCAGGAGACCTGGGTTTGATCTCTGGGTGGGGAAGATCCCCTGGAGAAGGAAATGACTACCCACTCCAGTATTCTTGCCTGGAGAATTCCAAGGATAGAGGAGACTGGCAGGCCACAGTCCATGGGGTTGCAAAGATTCGGACACGACTGAGCGACTAACACACTGCAAAATGAAAAAACAAACAAACAAATAAAAAAACCATTAAGTATTCCAGGATGTTGACAAGCAGCAGATGATTGTGGCAGGGCCTTTCAGAGGTCAAGGCCCTGTGCACCTACACTGTGCAGTGTGCGAAGCATGCCCTGGTGGGAGAAGAGTAGAATTCAACTCCAAACACCCTTCCCACCTCCCCACCCCCGCCAAAACTACAGCAAAGGCAACAACAGGAAACAAGATCAAAACTAAAGCCGCCGGAGCCCAACCTCGGTGGGCGCGGCGCTGGGAGCATCACTGCTGTATATAAGGCTGACTTTACAGTGAAGGAGCGGATTCTGAGGACTTAGCGGGGTAGAAGCTTCAGACACAAAGAATAAGGGTAAGGGACAGAGACTGCATCAGACCTTCCTCTTTTTAAAACATGTAGACAACGAATGCCTTCTCTTTCAAAAGAGAACTTAGTCTGAGTTTAGCAACTTATGTCTGGTGCCTTGGGAGCTGCGGTGGAATGTGTGGGATTGGGTATCAGGGTGTGTCAGTGTCAAAAAAAAGTAGACAGGTTAAATATATTTCCGTGGATTGGCTTCCCACCCTCTTGGGTAACGAACCCAAGGGTTTCTGGAAGGACCCGGGATTTAAGTGGGTTTTCAAGGACCCTCTATTCATCCTCCCTCCGAAGGTAAGACCCACGGAGAACCGCAGGGCTTGGCATTCTTGAGTTTAGTACAGGCCACTTGACGGGTAGAAGAGCGTCGTCCTCGAACATCTGGATGATGTGGCGAGGACTGTGGGGACCGTGAAGCTCCTGGTCCCAGGCAGCGGGCTGTAGGAAGGGCGCCCCGTCCCCTCCGTCCGCAGTCGGGCAGCCGGGCCAGCGAAGAGAGCGGGGTCCCGGAGGGAGGGAGGGCAGGGTCGAACCATGCTCGCGGAGGCGGCCCCACGCCCTGCCGCTCAGTCCTGCCCCGGCCAGGGGAGGCTCAGGCCCAGGGAACCTCGGGCGGAGGGGGCGGCCACCGGGCACACTGCGGCCAGTGCGGCCGCGCGGCCGCGGCTCTTGCGGCTCCGGCGCCCGCCGGGTGGTGGCTCCGCAGTGCCCGCCCCTCGCGCCCCTACCCCGCCCCTCGCGCCCCCTCGCCCGCCCCCGCCCGGCGCCCCGGCCTCGCAGACCCGCCGCCCCGTCCCTCCGCGCGCGCCGCAGCTGCTGCTCCTCCGCGCGGCGGCGCCTCCCCCGCGCGCCGCCCGCGCTCCCGGCGGCGCAGCCCTCCCGCCTCGGCCATTTTCCCTCCACCCCCTCCCCTCCCGATCCTCATCCCCTCGCCCTTCCCCCCGCGCGGGGACTTTTCCGGAAAGTTTTTATTTTCCGCCTCGACTCTTGAAGAAAGAAGCTCCCGGCTCGGCGGCAGCAAAACTTTTCAGCCGCCGGGCCCCGCGGCCCTCGGCTCGCCCGGCCGAGCGATGAGCGCCCCTCCGGTCCTGCGGCCGCCCAGCCCGCTGCTGCCCGTGGCGGCGGCAGCGGCGGCGGCGGCGGCCGCGCTGGCCCCGGGGTCCGGGCCGGGGCCCGCGCCGTTCCTGACGCCCGTCGCGGCCCCGGCCGGGGGCATCTCCTTCCATCTGCAGATCGGCCTGAGCCGCGAGCCGGTGCTGCTGCTGCAGGACTTGTCCGGGGACTACAGCCTGGCGCACGTCCGCGAGATGGCTTGCTCTATCGTCGACCAGAAGGTAAGGCGCCGCGCGACTCTGAGCCCGGCGCCTCCCCGCCGCGCTCGGGGCACTGCCCCGCGGCCGCCCCTCGCCGCGCCAACTTTCCGGCTCCGGGGGCTCGGCCGGCAGCCAGCCTAGCTGGCGCTCTGGAAGGGTCCGACACCCGCCGAGGTTGGACGCCCGCATCCGAGGCTGTGCCCTTCGTGTTGTCGAGTTCTCCCCTTGCCCCAACCTCTTTCTATTCCCGATTTCTCTCCAGTCTGCATCCTTCTCCCCCAATTCCATCCCTTTCAGGACATTTCCAGGTATCTTCTATTTTCTGGTCGCACCTCTCCCTCCCACTGAAGACTTCTCCCCTCTCTTCGCTCTGGACCCTGGACCAGCTCATTCCTGGCGCCGAAATCCTCCTTCCTGCACTAGAGTTTCCCCGGGGACACGCTCAGCACGATTTCAGCACCACTCCCTTCCCCTTCAGGCCCCTCTCCCAGCTCAGATTGATGCTGAGGAGTTCCTGGAATGATCTAGAGAGGAGGAATTTCTCACCTGTCAAATAAGCTTTTAAGCGAGAGTGATTGACTTGGCCAGCTGTGAAAACAAATGACCAGACCACAGCTCCCCACCTCCTTGTGGTCTGTTCCCAACTCTGTGAACATGGGCGCAATTTTTTCAACGATAAATCTGAAAGTTGCAGCCTTCTGGATTTTGATTCCCAGGGCACTGATGGTGGAGCTTTGAAGCCAGGGCACAGGCATGTGAATGGGGGGGGGGGGTCCTGTCTAGGAGCACCCCAGGCTGGCTGTGCCCCTAAGTTTTGAGGCTGTGGGACTTTGGACAGCGGCCACCGAAGGCAGGGTGGAAAAGGGGCCATTATCCTGGACCACGCCGCCCAGGGAGGAGACCTAGCCTGCCCATCGCTGTTTACTGTGCGGTTCTGAATTTCAGGTTGTTTCTGTGGCGGTCCAGAGGGGAGTTGCATGGAAGGGGGTGATAAGAGTGAAAAGGGAAGGGGGCCCTGGCGCCAGTCTTCTTAGTGTAAACAGCGGGGGTTTCTGGGTGGAGACAGAGGTCTCTAAAGGTGCTGAATTTCAGCCCTGAAGGACTGACTGGTACTTGCCTTATAAAGGTCCCTTGAATAATCATGAAAGCTTTCTTTAAACTGTTTGGAACAGAGTTTGCTAAACCTGTGTGTTGTGAATTGTAGCACTGAGCACAGAAATATTAGGAAAAATCCCTAGGGAGAAATCACTAGTCTAAAAGTTGTAAAAGTTCTGGATGCCAGACGAAGTTAACAATGAGTGTCAGGAGTTTTTGTTTATTGAACGGGTGACATTTTATAATACGCGTGACTCTCAGTTTTTTGCATCTTCCATGTAAATGGCAGATACTGTCTAATTCTGTTTAAAGTCATATCATGTGCCTTCTCCTCATCAATACTGTGGAGTGTCTATTGCAGGTTAACTGGAGCCTTCTCCTGGGCACTGAAAGCCTTCCCTTAATGGAAGTTGCAGTCTGCAACAATTTCCATTGGAGTGCAAGCCAATTAAAGGACAATACTGAATAAGCACATAAAGAACTTAAGATAAAGTTTCTTAAAGAGCTAATGTGATTGTATAGAATTTTAGCTGAAAGCAAGTGAGTTACAGATAATATTCATTGGGTCGAATTAATATGGACAGACTATCTTTGAACAGTTTTAAAGGGTGTGCCTGCGCACACACACGCGCACACACACACATACATGTGTATAGCCACACCTTGATGGAATTTAGAATGGGGAGAAATATGCCTGTTTCAAGAGGTTTGAGACTAGAAACTGAATGAACAGTGAATTCTTATCTCTGTAACTACCAAGAGGAATGCTTTGTGGAGGGGATGATACGTGTGCAGGAGAGCAGCAGAAAGCACCTATGGAATATAGAGGACCTGAGGGTAGTGACTAAAATATTTAGAGAAAGTAAAATTATGAAAAGGCCTTTCAATTAAGATGAACTCGAATTACTAGGAGTCTCTGTATCTTTTACATAGAGGCATCAAATCAAGGGCAGCTGAAAGGTGGATTTGCTGTGTGGAGTATGTTTTAAAAGGCCAAAAATGTTATGGCCAAAGGAAGACTGGAGTTCATGAGCTAATAGAACCCTGAGCCAAAGCTCTGGGGGAGAGACCTGGAGAAACACTGGCAAAGGGAAATCACCAATCCTGGTGACTGATTTACAAGGGGAATCCCTTCCTTTTCTATTTATTCTAGTAGTTCTTCTGTCTCTAAGAGTTTGAGAGTTTGTTTGGGATAGCCCAATAAAGATCTCACTTAAACTTTTTTTTTTTTGCTGGGGGTGGGGGTGGGATGTTGTGGCAAAGAGAGATTTAGAGGTGTGTGGATTTGAGAGTTATTTATATACAGGATACTGTAATTAGGCATTTACTTGATAGGAAAAATTTTCGTCTATCTGTTTTCTGTCATCTATCTTGAGATACAATTATACCTCAAGGTTAAGAGGGCTGAGTATCCATCACAGGATAGCAGAGACAGTAGAAAGGGGGTCAGTGTGGAGTCAAGGAAATGGGAAGAATTTCTTTGTTCCTTATTTCAGATTCTCTTGAATTACTTTCTCAAGATATTAACTCAGGATGACAGGAGAGAAAAAGAGAGGAAGAGAGAGAAATGGATGTTTTCGGACAGTGCTGGGATTTAGAAGTCATTTACAATTTACTATGTAGAATGGATTTCTCTAGATTTTCTGAGCCCTCCACATTCATTGCATTGTAACATGTTAAGAAGGTTTTCCCGTGATAGGTTTGAGAGTTTCCTAAATACTAACAGAGATTGGACTATCTTAAATCTTTGGAAGTATTAGCTGACAGTTCACTTTCTATCAGCAACATTCATGGGACATGGGATGAACGACTGTGAAATGAGCTAAATAAGAGAGGTCCGTCTCTGAGAAATAGTATTTTAAATTACTGTTGCTGTTAATTAGAATTTATAGTTTTTCGTTAATCATGTAGGTTTGCTAAGTGGCAGATAGATGATTATGCTTGAAAATTTTTGATGGTAATTGAGCAAAAATATTCTGATTTTAAGATAAATGTATCCTAAGTATGTACTGAATTATATAGCTAAAGAATTTTTTAAAATAAGTATTTTTTAATATTTAATATAATTTTTATATTATATTAGAGCATAGTTCATTTACAGTGTGTTAGTTTCAGGTGTACAGCAAAGTGATTCAGTTGATTTTTTAAAATAGTTTAGGTGAGAAATCTAAAGTGTCACATACATATTGGTATGTAGTACTTTATGAATACAGAGATAGAATTAATTCCTTCTTTTGGGGCAAATACATTTAAGGTTTTCTCTATATTATGCTTATTTCTTTACTTTGCAAGCATGTAACCTTGAAGGCTGGTTGTATATGAAGATATATATCATGTTAGATAGTATTCATGACTATTATTTTCTGGAGGGTAAAAAAATAGTTACAGTAATTGACTTCACTTTGAAACATTGTTACTTTCTACTATCAAAAGAACCTTGAATATATAGACTAAGAAGGAATTGTTTTGAAACAAGGAGCAGTATTCCAAAGGAAGAATTACTTTAGTTTCACATATTGTCTGTGTGTCTATGTGCACACACACACACTTTTTAAAAACAAACAGTATTAATTTAGGGATGTGGAATGCAATTAATGGGACTATCCATTCATTTTGCCTGTTATCTTATTAGATAGACAGCTCATATTTCCCTTTTGAATTTACTTAAATGAAGTAATAGCATCTCTAAGGCTCCTGGCACATTTTTACTTTGCATAGTCATTTTTCTGACCAAGGAAGTAAGAAGTGAAATTTTAGGGATGATAGCTCATTAAAGGTAGAACAAAGGTTAGTGCCTTAGTTTGAGAGCAGCTGTGCTCTGTTTATAGTTGTTTTGCTTTCTTAATTGTAAATTGTTTTCTTAACACTTGTAGTGTCACTTTAATTTTATTGTTAATTTTAGCTATGCTACTTCTACACAGATTGAAGAAACTGGGAATGACTAGCTGTTTGACCAGGTCAGCACACATAGGCCAACAAAATCCTTTTAAGCAAATAGATGTTTGGGTTGTAGGTTTGTATATTTTTATTCAGAATTTACATTTGTCATCATTGTATTGTCATCATTTACTTTGTCATCATTTACACTGTCATCATTGTCATCATTGACAGTTTACGATTGTCATCATTTCTGTTATTTCTGATTTAATGATGAAGTATAGAATGTGTCAGTTCATTAAGTAAGTCTTAAGGTAATATAATGCTTTAATACGGTGTATTTAAATTTTCAAGTTTAGTTTATAATAGGATTATATTTTGATATATATGTAATGCCTGTGTAATATATGTCTAATATATACATATGCAGTATATTGTCTAAGTATGTAAGTGTGTTTTGGAACGTAATTTTGAAAGCCTAATTATCCTTGTATAGCCACCATATATTAAAGTATTGTTTTATAATTTGCATTATAGGCTGCAAAATCGAGGCCTCATTATATATCTTATAATGCAAAAGAGAAACTCTGCTTTATGTTTTTTCTATCAATACACAGAACTAAAAACCTTTTCATATCAGTGTATGCTGTTGAACACTTTCCCAAGGAAATATCATTTGTGTCAGCCTTCCAAACTTTGGGCTGGGAGAATTGGACAATTGGCTGTTTTGACAAATATATGAATTACTTTAGATCTTTAGATCCAGGATTAAAATAAATTGGAAAGACTTTTCTGAGACAGTTATAGTCTGTATATATGTGAGAGAGGAGGTTAAGTGGAGCTGGAAAACTGTTAATACTTTATGTGTTGCTCTGTACACCAAACTCCTGTCATAACCATTAAGGGAGATTTGAAACTTTATTTTGCCAATTATTTTTACTCTATTTGTGAGGTGATTGTATGTAGGTCTTCACTATTTATTCATGGATGCCTTTTAATGACCTTACTAGACAAATCAAAATCCTATAAATGTATGGTTGTCTCTTACC